GCGCTAAATTTTATATGTGTGTGTGTGTGTTTTCAATCAAATATATATATATATATATATATATATATATATATATATATTAAAGCATGCTCTGGCTTGGACCTTCATTAATGGCTTTGTTGATACTGCTTTTATTTGTCTTGCTAAAGGAAGCCCTACCTGTTAAGGTTTTAATATACATGTGGCCCATCTATTGGTGGCATAATCAGACCTTTTTATATTAGCAATGATTTTCCTCAAATATTTTGTTCAAATATTTGTTTGATCTCCATAATTTAAACTTTCTTTAACTTTAAAACCCCATTTTTGTGCCCTTTGGTTGATATTCCAACAACATAAATGACATTTTGCCTCCCAGTTTGTTCATCAGCAAATTTATGTGCTACTGCAAATGAACCAATCGTGCAGTTGTGATGATTTGATAGCAAAAAGTGACCATTTGTCTGATTTAGATAATCGTTACGAACCATAAAGGTGCACATAAATGTGAAAATTAGAAAGGTGTTATGGAGTAACTAATCAAACCACTTGTTATGTTCTAATGATAATAGAAATTTTAATTCCATAGAAATTACTGGTTGGACCAAATAAGGTGGACGACGAGTATTTATAAGCTATTTAAAAACTGAATCAGATTCAGATGTAGATATTGATATGTCCATGATAACATTTGATCTATGGCTTTATTAAAACATGATCAAAATCTCACCCTATACCATATGCTTTATAAAAAAACAAATCCATACCTAATTGGCTATTACAATTTAACACTAGTCATAAATATTTAATTGGTGACTTTTTTGTTAACTTGAAACTTGCCTTCAAAAGCTGTATAGTTCCACAAACGTTTGTGAGGAAATTTTTATTCCACCCTGATTGACATTACTTGAATGACATCAACAAAGCCACATAATTATTGTCTATTTCCAGAGAAAAATGCAACATGAATGTGGTTGGCTAATTGTCTTACAACTCTAATTTGCTTCTCATCTGGTGTTTATCAGGTCAACTACATCTGAAATGTGCTACTAGAGTAGCTACTGTTATGTAATTTAGCTTAAGCTGTTTATTGTACAAATTGTAGCCTGTGATGTGCAAAAGGCTTTAGCAGCAACACATTAGTACAATACAGTCTTCAAGTTGATCAGAGGATGTTTAAATGTGTCACTCTCGTCCTTTAAAAGGTCCTTTTAAAGTGTCTCCTAAATGAAATTACATCATGGCATCTGATGATGACAGTCATGTACATTGAGTATTAACAGGCATGAACAGTTTGTTATGATATTGTGGACAAAAGGACCTGCTTGAGCTTGTCAATTTAATACCATGATGGTGTATAATATTTGTAAAAGAACACACAAATTTTGATTAGTGCTCCAAGATAACTAGTAAGTTGCAAGTATTGGTTAAACTTGACCTTAATTATTTTTTCATATATATGTGTGTGTGTGTGTGCGAGTGTGTGTGTAATTTAATAGTTAATGATATTGGTCTTTGTGTTGCCTACTAAGCTTTTTTTTCTGTTGTTGTTTTGTTTTTTTGGAAAAAAAAATATATGCAAAGTGGCCTGTGCAATAAGTGTAAACAATAATGTGAAAACTAACTAGTTTTCCTTAAGAAGAATGAAAATCTGAGAGAAAAGCACCTCGAGTGAGATTTGAAAGAAAGTGTTTTTTCCCATATGGTATGCATGGGCTCAGTCACTGCTGTACGAAACTATTATGTTCTTACTTACTTTCTTACTAACCTACTCCATATTGCTTTTGCAAATTCCAAATGATTTGGAACTTAATATTGGCTTTTTATTTATTTAATTATTTATTTATTTCCCCATGTTTACAAAATATATATAATGAGGGCATTCCCATTTCTAACTGTATAGTTGTTGTTGTTTTTTGGGGGGGGGTGTATTTCTGCAAATCAAAATTATTACAATTGCCAAAAAAAGATGGCCTCCCAAAGAGAGTAAAGTTGTAGTTTTGCTTTCCGCTCATGGCTCGTCATACCTCCTCCCAGCTGCTGCTGTTTTGAGTACAAGACATTTTGTTTCTTCAGACATGCAAGTGCCTTACCTGTTGCCATTTGCAATCAGTTGTCTAACGGTTCTTTGGTAAAAACCGCTCTTTGTTTCGCAGAGGTTTTGTCTCCACCTGTTTGCGGTCTTTATAGAGCAAAGCATATTTTGAAAAAAAATAATCATATTTCGTGGCTTATTCAAGTCTGTTTATCTTTAATTTTGATACTACATTTCATATTTGAATAGAAGAGACCAAAGTCATTTATTTATTGTCATGTTTTGGCATGTTTGAACACACTAACCTAACAATAAAATCAATTCAAGAAACTGTAAGATTGCCTTTAGCCCTAACTAAACAGCTCTTAAAAGTGACTTGGAACATATATCATCTATACACTGTACTTCATTTTGACCATTTTAAGTTGTGCTGCACTTTGTTTTATAATGTAATGTACAGTTAATTATAGAAATAAATTGTTTATTGTCTGCATCAGAAATGGACTAGTATTGCATTTTTTCTAGCCACAAGTGGCTTGGAGAGACAGAGAGAACTGTGTTGATAATTATTATAATAAATGCACTACACATCACAATTCACTTCTTAGTATGGAGACATTTTCTACAAAATGAGTTTTTTCAGTAAATTACATGTAAATTAAGAAAAAGTGTTGCTTTTCCTGACCTTTGAGTGCTGCACAGAAGGAACTCTTATTGAATTAGGCAAATGTGATTCTGACATCACAAGAACCAGACACAGGAGCAGCCCAGAGACTGAAGCTGGAGACAGTTAAACAGACTAAAGTAGTCCAATCCAAAGACGTATCTGCATCACTGGTGAGGATTTTTCTCCTTACATGAACACGGTGAGATTGTGAGCTGTATTTGTTTAGCACGTGCTACATCTGTATTTGCCAGTAATGTGATTTTTGCTGTATTGTAAATCTCTCATGGCAAAAAGCATCTGCTAAAGACATACATATAAATGTAAATGTATTTGTGAATTAGTTGTCTCAGGAAGATGTATTTTTAAAGTCATCTTGAAAAAATATTCGCACCCAAAGTCATTTATTTATTGTCATGTTTTGGCATGTTTGAACACACTAACCTAACAATAAAATCAATTCAAGAAACTGTAAGATTGCCTTTAGCCCTAACTAAACAGCTCTTAAAAGTGACTTGGAACATATATCATCTATACACTGTACTTCATTTTGACCATTTTAAGTTGTGCTGCACTTTGTTTTATAATGTAATGTACAGTTAATTATAGAAATAAATTGTTTATTGTCTGCATCAGAAATGGACTAGTATTGCATTTTTTCTAGCCACAAGTGGCTTGGAGAGAGAGAGAGAACTGTGTTGATAATTATTATAATAAATGCACTACACATCACAATTCACTTCTTAGTATGGAGACATTTTCTACAAAATGAGTTTTTTCAGTAAATGACATGTAAATTAAGAAAAAGTGTTGCTTTTCCTGACCTTTGAGTGCTGCACAGAAGGAACTCTTATTGAATTAGGCAAATGTGATTCTGACATCACAAGAACCAGACACAGGAGCAGCCCAGAGACTGAAGCTGGAGACAGTTAAACAGACTAAAGTAGTCCAATCCAAAGACGTATCTGCATCACTGGTGAGGATTTTTCTCCTTACATGAACACGGTGAGATTGTGAGCTGTATTTGTTTAGCACGTGCTACATCTGTATTTGCCAGTAATGTGATTTTTGCTGTATTGTAAATCTCTCATGGCAAAAAGCATCTGCTAAAGACATACATATAAATGTAAATGTATTTGTGAATTAGTTGTCTCAGGAAGATGTATTTTTAAAGTCATCTTGAAAAAATATTCGCACCTTTAAATTTTTACAAAGAAAAAAAAATTAAATGTGGAACGCTACTTAAACGGATCACTGAACTTTAAAACATGTTTGACTGCATTTAGTTAAGATTGTTTTGCATACAGTAGATAATAAAAACAGCGGCCGCTGATAGTTGTCATTTGAATAACAGGTTAGCAATTGCAAGTCTCTTATAGCTCAAATACAACCAGTGCGACAACCAGTTTAGCTTAATTATTCATCTGCTATTACTGTATGTGAAATTGTGGACATTGTATATTTGAGCATAAAACTTTTTGCTCAATCTGCAAATTCACTCAACTCTTTTGGGTAGGGAGCTAAATTGAGAAAGTCTCTTTTTATGGATGGCCCTTCCCCGCTGCTTGGGATATTGCAAGCTGAGGTCGTCAAACTCAAAATAACCCATTAGATTTACTGTGCAGTGCCTGTGCAATGACATAACCATAATATAAGTTTGCCATTCATGCAGCAGCCCAGCCAGTTGAGCTTTACCTCTACAGCTGACATTCTCAGACAGAGTAAAGAGTCAAAACAGAGCACTGGACCCTTAAAATATCCCATCATGCTGAGAGGCACAAATGAGATGACATTTACTGCTAACATAGAGCCATATTCATTCATGTTTACACAGAGAAGCCCACATTCACAAGCTGTGTCATGTGCAATTGCAAGTCTCTTATAGCTCAAATACAACCAGTGCGACAACCAGTTTAGCTTAATTATTCATCTGCTATTACTGTATGTGAAATTGTGGACATTGTATATTTGAGCATAAAACGTTTTGCTCAATCTGCAAATTCACTCAACTCTTTTGGGTAGGGAGCTAAATTGAGAGAGTCTCTTTTTATGGATGGCCCTTCCCCGCTGCTTGGGATATTGCAAGCTGAGGTCGTCAAACTCAAAATAACCCATTAGATTTACTGTGCAGTGCCTGTGCAATGACATAACCATAATATAAGTTTGCCATTCATGCAGCAGCCCAGCCAGTTGAGCTTTACCTCTACAGCTGACATTCTCAGACAGAGTAAAGAGTCAAAACAGAGCACTGGACCCTTAAAATATCCCATCATGCTGAGAGGCACAAATGAGATGACATTTACTGATAACATAGAGCCATATTCATTCATGTTTACACAGAGAAGCCCACATTCACAAGCTGTGTCATGTATCTCAAAATATTCTGACTAGTATACTGTACTTAATATAGGCCTTCTTGATGAAAGGACTTTATCCTATTTGACCTTTTATGCTTAAGTAAAACATTGTGCTTTTTTAGTTTTGATATCAGCATGAGGGCAGAGGACAAAGGACATGCTTACACCTTATCATATGCTTATATTTGGGAGGCTATTTTAGACTATTCTTCCCACAAGACCCACATTGTGACACTACAGTCAGCTGAGCATTATGGGATGCTTCTTTCTTTCAAACCACTGTGCAATGGAAGTTTCAGAAGGTCACTGATAAAGCCATGACCGTTATAGCCAGAGGTCACAGAGTTCATATGACCCTGCGATGGAACCAGATTGGTCGGTGTGTCTATTTTGTGCCAACAGGTCACTTTCTGAAAAAAATGCATTGCTTTTATGTAGTATATCAAAGTCAGGATAACTAAATTTTCAACAATAAATAAATGAGAAGTTATGAATAAATATTACATTGTTACTAAAAATAAATCAGTAGATCTAAACTCCTTGAAAATGATCCTGTGCTGCTGTTCTGTAAGCCAGTCTGTAATTCAATCCACATATTTTAATGCAAGTTTTAGGATATTATACACACACACACACAAACACACACACACGCACACACTACCATTCATAGGTTTGGGGTCAATATCTTTTTTTTTAATAAAAATAAATGTAATAATAATATAACTATTATAATGAAATATATTTACAATATATATATATATATATATATATATATATATATATAAATAGAAAACTTATAAATTGTAATATTACTGTTTTTGCTGTGTTTTTGATCAAATAAATGCAGCATTAGAGACTTCTTCCAAAAACATTAAAAGATCTTACTGACACCAAACTTTTGAACAGTCGTGTAAATATATTGGTATTTTTATATATTACTAATTCATTTTAATATACACAATTTTAATATATTAATTTGAATTAATTTTAATATATTAAAATAAATGATCAACTAAATTTCCAGCTTGGATGGAAACATAGCCACAGCGGCCAGGAGGTCTGGCGTGTTGTAGTCAAGAGCCATAGGATATGTTTGGAGTCCGTGGGTTTTCCCCTTTCATGTCTAATGTGACCTTCGCACCTGGTAACTGATCTACTCTGCCAGTTGTCCAGTTCCCATTTTGGTTCTGTGACTCAGTAGCCACATTGAGAGTCATTTAATTTTAGGCAATGCAACATTCCAGTAAGGAGTGATGTGAGAGGAACAAGAGAGAGCTTGAACTGGGAGGAGGCTCACTACAGATCTGTCTGTTCATAAACTCATGGGTGGGGATATGTGTTCTTCACAGGGGTGATGGGACAGAAACAGGACAAGGAGCTAGGAAAAGAAGACGTCCTGACTGGCACCGTTAGTGACTATGAGATCTTAAACCGAAGCGAGGAGGAAGCACATTCCAACAACTCAGAAGAAACAGACCAGAATTTTGTTCACTTGGACACCTCCATACTAGAGCCCCATCAGGAACCAACAAGAACTAATGACAAGACCACTGAGCCCTCTTTAAACCAGAGAGGAAAAAAGATCAGACAGAGTTATGACACGGATGTTTCACAGAATGCCAGGACACCAAATCCTCAACTGAGCCTGGCAAGAGATCCATGTGCCTCAGAATTCAAAACAGTCACAAGTGACGCAACGGCCACAGATATATCTACTGCTGTGGACCAGCGACGACCTGACAAAACTCACCTCAAGGATAGTCCAAACATGTTAGAAGGCTCTTGTCAAGGGGACTCAACAGATGATGGCGTGAGCATTGAGACACAGACGCTGTCTCACAGACAGAATGGGATGTTAGACACAAAGGCAATGACAAAGATGAGTGGTGATGTTGAAATAAAGAGGAAATTTTCTTTGGAATCAGAGAATGCTAATTTACTTGAAAGACAGCCATTCCAGGAAATAGGAGTTTCAGAGGACAAATATAAACATGAAATGCAGAGCCTAAATAGTGACAAAATTAGGAGAAGTTGTGAAAAAGTTTGCAAAGAAAGTGCTGGAACTGTCCGACATGAAGAAAGTCCTGATGTGGACAGATTTGAGTATTTGGACAGAGTTGATTCTTTATGTCCAGAGACTGTGACTACATGTCCGTCAATCACTGGAGTCCACTCAAATTCAAGTCGCCCGTGGCTTCAGAATGCCAATAAGCAGGATAATTTACAGGGAGATAAAAATATCAATAGAGGTTTGTCACAATGTGTTTTTCAAGAACCTAATGATGCCTCACAGACACCAAAAGCAACGGCCAAAGAAGACTTCAGAATAGACCAAAGAAACCCAACATCCCGTACACCATTGCTGGGAAAAGAAGAGACCGGATGGGGTAGAACTGAAGGTAAGGACAAAATCTTGCATATTCCCTTTGATGAACCTTGTTTATTAAGATCTAGAGTGACAACATTCGACTCTTTCGACTCTGTTACTGAACCCACAAATCTAGACACAGCTCTATTCCCATTGAGGATTGAGGAGGACTTCAAACAAAAGGTGTTAAGCCCATTCCATCCAGATTTAAGCCAAAACAGTACTTTGTTTAACACTGAGAAGCAAAATGATGACAAAGGGGCATTCACTGTCATGGAAAAACACTCAACGGCCATGTCATCTGAGAGTTTAACTGCATCCAGTGCTAAAAACGTCCCTGTTAGCAATGCGCCTCACCCAGTCAAAAAGGGAGTGTGGGGAGCAGAAGCACCACGTGTGAAAAGAGACACTGAATCTGCTTGGCGAAAAGCTGTTCGGTCGAAATCCACAGAAAGCAGAAAAGACTATGATGGTCATCTTAATGGAAGACATAATACTTCTTCTTTACTTGAATTATCAGGTGAAAATGGTCAATTTCAGGTGCATCAGGGCAAAAGAGTCTGTAACCCAAAGATCTACAAACTGAATGACATAAACACAGAAACAAAGGCTAAAGAGAATTTTTCCAGCGGTAAATATGTAGATCAAATGCTTGTAAACTCCTTTTCTCACTCAGATTTTGATGCCGGTGATGCCGAAAGAGTCACACAGGTGGCTTCTTTGCAGCGGGAAAAAGAGCCTCTCTATTTCACAGCTGTGATCACACCACCACTTCAGATTCATACATTTCCTGATCAGGAGGCGAGGAAGTCATCTTACGTCTCTCATTTGTACGTTCCTCACGCTGAAATACAGAGCATGATCTCTGACATCCTACCCGCAGATGCTCAGACAGAGAAAAAGGCCAAAATCAAAGGACCACCACCACCTGTTCCGAAGAAACCAAAGAATCCCCTTAAAAAAGCTGCTGGCCGCAAGGAATCTGCTTCTCATTCCACAGACGAGCCAAGCAAATATTCGGACCTATTGCTCAGAAATATTAAAATGGGCAGAAGGCAGGAGGCACTGGAGTCTGTAGAGGACTTTAATATGCATCCATCATGTCTTGATATGTCACCTTATTATATTGAGTCCCCATTCTACATGTGCATGTCCTTAGAGCCTGAGGCTGCTGATATTCCAAGATATTATTTAGCCCCATATGATGAAATTGTTGCACCTGACTGCGATAATTTGCTAGGAACTCTCGATGATGAAGAACTAAAAGAAATGGATATGTCTCAGCTGAGACCACTGCTAAAAAAAAAAGCAAAAATAAAGGGCCCACCACCACCTGTGCCGAAGAAGCCTCAAAATCCATTTGCTAAAACAGACACAGAGAAGAGCCAAGCAAGCAAAGACTCTGATTTGGAAAACGTGGCTCAGCCTTTGGAATATGGTAGATGTGACTCTGAAAGCTACATGATGGACATTGAGGATGAAGAAGACCCTGAAACCACCGCTGTCCCAATTAGATATCCTTACACCGCCTGTCGAATTCCAAGCAGTGATTCTTCTGCTTCAGAGGAAAACGAACTGTCCAGATACAAACCTGTCTCTGAACTCATCAGAGACAGCAACAAAATCCAGGAGAAAGTGATACATCACAGCAAGACAAACATAATGGAAGCCAGGCCAGCTGTGACTGTGGGAAGCCAGAGTCTAAAAGTGTCGCAGATGAAGAGAGCCTTTGATGTACAAACATCTTCCCATAAAACGGAAAGAAGATCCTCGCCGAAGAAAGGTAAGACAGGTTTTCAAGCTGATTGCATTCCTTGTTTTCACACAGTTTCTATAACAACTGACAGTGTTAATAGAGAATCTTGATCAGATTTCATATTTTTTATCACACATTATAAATGGCACTTTATAAATTAAAACATACAGCTGCTGCCGTTACATTTTAGAAAGGAGGTCCCTCAGAAGTTTGAAAAGCCCTACACCACACTGAAACAGAAAAATAAGACTCCACATTAGATTTTAGGGCACATTGCACTTTGTAACATAATCCAACATGAGCATGACTTCATCCTTTTTCACTCTTAACATAATAACCAGAGTCCTGTAACATTATCAGCTCAGTTGAAGGCAAAGCACAACGTGTTTAAATGCACAAGATGGAAAAGCTGCTTGGGATCAAGGCAGTGTTTGCAATGGAGAGATGCTCAAGGGTCTTTCCATTTATAAAATGACCTTACCAATTAAACCGCAGTAGCCGGTCAGCCAGTATGGTACAATTTGTACCATTACTTCTCATTCACACACAGAACTGATGTCCATGTAGGAGGACATGAGGAGGCATGAGGAGGAGGAGGGGGGGGGGGGGGGGGGGGGGAGATGAGAACAAGGGCGTTTTCTCCCCTTCATTCAGAATAAAGGAGAGGAGGGAAGCTATTGTGGCTAGCCGAGAGTCACCAGCACAACTGAATCTGTGAGAAAATAAATTAATGCTTTGAATTTGACGCTCTGAGAGACGTAGTACTGATAAAGGTAAGCGTTTTGCGTTTGGTCATATTAATGCAAGGCAGGTCAGTGGTGCAATAGCCTCTACTGGAATGCTAGCTCGATTTTAGCAAGCATCACTGATTTAAAACAAGCTCTGGAAACAGCTAGTACCTAATCGAAAAAACACTTGCGCTCGTGCATGGTCATTTGCTGGCGATTCGGCTCATTTAGCGTCATTTTCTGACATGTGAGACTACATCCAGCCTTCGATTATCATGCATATGGCGAGATAAGCAGAAATAGTGAGATATTAATTGAAAGTTGACCATGATGACCTGTGCCGGGTAGATAGCACGCCTCCACTTTCAAAGCGGCACGTCGCATTTCACCAGCGCATGCAAAGAAAAACACGCACGGCTCCAAACAAGCTGCATTACTGATGCTTTTTCAGCTGTTTTCATTCATTTGCTCGGTTAGCGGTTAGCTCATTTTCTCACACCAGCAGAAGCCTGCCCATCCATCGATTATGTCATGTTTATTCATTCTTCTCACTCTTGCACTGTATGAGAATATCTTATCTTTCTCTTCATCTTTCTCTCATCCGTACATATTTTCTCTCTTATTCTTATTCTTAATCTTAATTGATTTTAGTAAATGGTGTGTGTGTGTGTGTGTGTGTGTGTGTGTGTGTTTCGCCGGGATGCTCATCATCAATAACGCACAAACGCAGCTCGGCCATTAGAAAGCAAACACACTCACACACACCGCCATACATCTGACCTATTTCCAAAAGCACATCCATGACTTTATAGTGATGACTACATTTTATTCTCACAAACACAGCTGTTTGGATTCGTTTTTGTTTATTATTAGTGTTATTAATGGTGGTAGCTCTTATTTATTAAGGCACCGCCATCAATCAGGGTCCTCCTACCAGATCTCAGCCAATGCTTCAGGTAATGCACATAACGCATGAATAAAGGCGACTCAGTGATTATTAATGTATGATTATGAATGTCGATGTGTTTATCAGTATATAATATAATACTGGTTAGGAAAAAGCACGCTGGCTGTGTCTTAAAATCTGCCTAACAAGACAGCATTTTTTGGCATCACACTGTATGTGTGCATCATTTTTGGCCATCTGTGATGCGTGCTTATTAGCTTATTAAAAAATGCTGTCATTTTGGCAGCTCATTAGGTTTTGATCTTCTAGGAATTTACTGTTTGAACTGTATCTTACTTTAATCATGGTTGATAAACTCTACAAATTTGTTCATGAAAGAGAATGTTTACTTTTATAGTCTAATGGTGCATGGAATTTCATACACTGTAACAAATTTTGTCAAGTGAGCTAAAATATATGCTTCGTAACATGTAAATTAACTGGTGAAGTTTGTTTTAATATGACTGAATCATTTGACTACTATTACACCAATGAAAGTTTAAGTGTTCCTTACAATAACAAATGGTCATACCCACTTATGAACTAATAAAAATAAATAGTTTATTAGTCAAATATAGGATTTTTAATTTTTTATCAAATATTTTTAAAAATTTCATACACTGTAACAAATTTTGTCAAGTGAGCTAAAATATATGCTTCGTAACATGTAAATTAACTGGTGAAGTATGTTTTAATATGACTGAATCATTTGACTACTATTACACCAATGAAAGTTTAAGTGTTCCTTACAATAACAAATGGTCATACCCACTTATGAACTAATAAAAATAAATAGTTTATTAGTCAAATATAGGATTTTTAATTTTTTATCAAATATTTTTAATCAATAAGTGACTAATTACATATTACTGGAATTTATTACTTATTACTTATTCATTAATTTAAACAGTCATCAGAGCATGGTTTTTCATATCGAGATGAATGTTTCTACACAGTGGCTCAATGAAATTGACACACAAAACTGCATTTGACTTCTCCTCTTGTCTTTTATGGAGACGTGTATATACAGAGTGAAATGGAAAACTGATTCCCAGTGCTCTCTAGCTGACTGCTCATCTTACCCTAATATGATACACTGTCAATATTAAGTCTGAAAGCAAAAGAAAATGCATTCGCTCATCTGCCATTAAGAATGTGTTATACTGCAAAATATAATTTTCAGGTATTTAAATATTAAATAAATAAAGTACCATTGTAAATATATTTTTTTTTAAAAGAAATCATTACAACAAGCAAGAAAAAGCATTTCTCTTCTCTTGTGTTTTCAGAAATGATCAGACGAGTGGTACGACAGAGTAAATTCCGTCATGTGTTCGGTCAGGCGGTGAAGAATGACCAGTGCTATGATGACATTAGGGTTTCGCGGGTTACCTGGGACAGTGCCTTTTGTGCAGTAAACCCCAAATTTGTTGCTATTATTGTTGAGGCTAGTGGTGGTGGAGCTTTCCTCGTTTTGCCTCTGCAAAAGGTAAGGGATAACCGCATATGAATTAAATGCTCACGCAGCATTTATAAAGTTAGTCCTTTGAATAAGCTTAGTTGGTCACAATTATACAAAATGAGACATCAATTCATGCTCTCCGTTTCCTGTTTGCAGACAGGTCGTATTGACAAGGCCTACCCCACTGTTTGTGGTCACACGGGCCCTGTGCTGGACATTGACTGGTGCCCGCACAATGATCACGTCATTGCCAGCGGCTCTGAAGATTGTACAGTAATGGTACGTTCAGCTCCTTCACTACATCCTCTCATAGAGACCCTGCTTGGGTCCAATAGAATGATTATTATGAAAATATTTGCATTTTTGCCACACAGGTGTGGCAGATCCCTGAGAACGGCCTCACCGCACCTCTTTCTGAGCCAGTCGTGGTGTTAGAGGGTCACTCCAAGAGGGTGGGCATCGTGACGTGGCATCCAACAGCCCGCAACGTTCTACTAAGTGCAGGTATGAGATTTTAAAAGCAAGTGCACTATATAAAAACCCTTACGTTTATCATCTTGAACATCAAAAACATGTTATGTTGCGTGACTGAATGATCAAAAACCAATTTTGTCTTCCCTCCTCTGTCAGGATGCGATAATCTCATCGTCATTTGGAACGTGGGCACAGGAGAAGCTCTGATCAACCTGGAGGACATGCATCCTGACGTGATCTTCAGCGTCTGCTGGAGTCGCAACGGCAGCCTTATTTGTACAGCGTGCAAGGATAAGAAAGTGCGTGTTATCGACCCACGCAAGGGGAAGATCATTGCGGTAAGTGAAAACATTTGGAATTACACTGAAGACTCTTTATTTTCACAGTCCTTTGTGTTTCACTGACATTGATGATCACAGGAGAAGGATAAGGCCCATGAGGGGGCACGGCCCATGAGAGCCATATTTCTGGCTGATGGAAACATCTTCACCACTGGCTTCAGTCGTATGAGTGAGCGGCAGCTGGCTTTATGGAATCCAGTAAGCCAAAATAAATGTTTGAAAAATTAAGATTTTTTAGCCACTTGTTAAATATTTTGATTTGCGTCTCTTTAAGAAAAACATGGAGGAGCCGATATCAGTGCACGAAATGGACACCAGCAATGGAGTGTTGCTTCCCTTCTATGACCCTGACACTAATGTGGTCTACCTGTGTGGAAAGGTGAGCAAGTTTTATGTGATCCAGGAAGTATGAGTTGAGCTATATTGTAATAAACATATTAACATTAACATGTTGACTTAATTAAATTATATGAATTATATACTTTTTCTGAGACAATTGTCTGATATGTACCACTTGTACTTCTATTTTTATAAAACAACTACAGTTTCATGCTGGGTTCACTTCACTTCGCTAGATCTTCACTTTTGTGTTTTTTAGCACCAAGTTTGCAGAGGCACCCTTGGTTTAGAACCACTGGCTTAGCATCAATAGTGTGATGTCATACAACTTGATTACGTGTGTTTGGTATATTTTAATGAGGTAATAATTTGTAAAAAACACAACAACAAAAAAACCCTATAACCTTGTTCTCTGCTCCAGGGTGACAGCAGTATCCGTTACTTCGAGATCACAGACGAGGCGCCGTATGTGCACTACCTCAACACGTTTTCCAGCAAGGAGCCCCAGAGAGGCATGGGCTACATGCCTAAAAGAGGCCTAGACGTCAACAAGTGCGAGATAGCCAGGTATGCACTATTTGCACAGGTATTTCTTTAAATGGTATTTCTAAAAATAGAAAACAGGCCCAAGGTTTTCAGAAAGTGTGTGTGGCTTTAGATTCATCCCAATTATCAGAAGTGTTTGACGTGCTTATGGCCATGTCAGAATGTAGATATTTTCGAGAAACTAAACTGACTTCAGGCCAGCATTGTTGTGATTATGGTTCTCAGCAGTGTGATGTGATTGATGCTTCATTCCTGCTGCTAGATTGATTCTATTTCTCCAGTAGGGGGAGGTATTAACCTGTCATTGACTATAAAATCTTATGTGATGACAATGTGGCACTGATCATGCTGTGGCTCCTAAATGTCATGGAAATGTTATTTGACAACTAATGATCACTGTTAGGATCATTAGTTTTAGGATCCATTCTGTCATAAGGGTGTACATTCTGTGTTTAATCATTGTTAGAAATTGCATATTATAAATAAAATTTACCCAAGTAGGTGGGTGAAGAAAGCTTCTTGTATATAACTGTAGGCCTGTCGCAATAATCAATATATCGACTTATCGCGCAATATATGTACATGACCTCAATAATTTTTGGTGCCGCAATATATCGCCCATTATATTTACTTAAAAATCAATGTCACCATGTTTTGTACATTCCACTTGCGCCTGTGTCTTTTGCAGCTTCTCGAACATAACGTGATGTAGTCATGAGGTGCTAGTTGAAATTTAAAAAATGCTTCTACAAAAAATGTTTCATCTGCAGTTATGGTCTTGTTTAGGGATCTGTGCCTTTGTGCATACGGACATCTGACTGCTGAGTAGTGATTGTGTTTTTCAGGAATAGTGTGCACCCTTAATTTACAGAGAAATTAAGGTCTGGGAAAAATCTGTTGATGGAAAAATCTCCATACAAGTTCTTTGTGCATTTTTCTTTTTTTCTACTTGTTACTTTGCACTTTTTGTTAGAAAATGTTTATTTACTATTTATTCAGGTTTTTTAAGGTATCTAATAGTTTGATAATTAATTTCCATGATCTAAATATTCTTAAAAATTCTTTAAAAGTTTGTTGTCATTTGGAAGTGTGTAGGCCTTCTTGCATTATTATGCTGTTACATTATGATTATATATTCAGTGGCATAAAATGGTCTTTAAAATGACAATAATATCGTTTATCGCAATTATTTCCGGGGAAATATATCGCACAACAAAAAGTTGTTATCGTGACAGGCCTACATAACTGTTCATCTTTTTTATGTATATTAAAATGTATTTTTTTCCTGTGATGGCAAAGCTGAATTTTCAGCAGATACAGAATTGCTCCAGTCTTCAGTGTCACCTGATCCTTCAGAAATCATTCTAATATGCTAAATTCGGTGATCCAGAAACATATTTTCAAATGGATTATCAAAACAGTTGTGCCGCTTAATATTTTTTAGAAACTTTTTTTAGGATTCGTTGATGACTATAAAGTTCAAAAGAACAGCATTTATTTGAAAAAGAAATCTTTCAAAACATTGTACATTGAAAAAGGAAAAACATTGTAAAAGTTTTTTAGATTAAGATTGTGCTTATTACCATTAACACCAATAACATGTCTGTTGTTTCTCGCAGGTTTTATAAACTTCATGAGAGAAAGTGTGAGCCAATTATCATGACCGTTCCTAGAAAGGTACTTTTCACTGTTTTGTGTTTGTTGCTTATTTAATCATTCTGTATGAATTTGTTATTCTTCAGTATATTCCAAAAAAATCAGTTATTAAAACAATGATTGTTAATAACGATGTTCAGTTGATGTTTAGTTTTTACTGGCAAAGCTCAATCAAAAGTGTGATTTTATGGTCATTAATTGATTAAGAAAAGGGGAAGCACTTAGTTTCAATTAACGTTAAAGCAGCAGATGTTTTCAGAGAAACAAACAGCATGAATCCAAAATACTCATTATGGTATTTCCTGTCTCCTTTGTTTTTGGCAGTCAGACCTCTTTCAGGACGACCTCTATCCAGATACAGCAGGTCCAGACCCGGCGCTTGAGACCGAGGAGTGGTTTGAAGGCAAGAATGGCGAACCGATCCTGATCTCGCTCAAACACGGTTATGTTCCGGGCAAGAACCGCGACCTCAAAGTAGTCAAGAAAAATGTGCTGGATAACAAGGCACCCAAGAAAGTGGAGGAGCCAGCACCTCCCCAGAAACCTGCCTCTCCTCAGCTAACCAGAGTAAGTATGATGCTTCATTGACTCGTTAATAATTGGTGCTAAAGCATAATTTTCTTATTTCTTGATTTTGCTTTGCAGAAGAATGAAGTGAAGTTAGAGGAGCTGCTGCGAGAAGTCAAGTCCCTTAGAGATCTGGTCACGCTGCAGGACAGGAGAATCGCCAAACTGGAAGAGCAAGTGGCTAAAGTGGCCATCTAAGACACTGGTGGTGGTCTGAGCCATAGCGTCAGTATGGAGAGAGAGAGAGAGAGAGAGAGATTCAGTTGGGCGGGGGGGTCAGTCACTGCCAAAATTTCTCAATTTGACTGGATCATTCCGCTTGGTGTTTCTCACAAGGACAACTTCACGCAACATTCCAAGATGGACTTTTACTTTTTGTAAAGTCTCCCCCAAGCATTCGCATAGCAGAAGCAAAATTGTGGAAATGAGTGGTCATTGATTTTAACTGATGTTTTACATTTTGTTACAAATGTTCTTATTTCTTCTGTTATTGTAACATTGTTTCCATGAGTATTCTGATATTAAGCGGTATGTTACAGAGTGTCGTTGTATATACACATCAATATTCCTCTTTCCTTTTTTGTTGTGCTGCCAAATTTGAGGTGAATCAGACACCTCTCCTTCTATTTCTACTTTTATATGTTTTTCCCAGTTTTAGATAGTGGCTTATTGAAAATCAAGACATACTATTCAAAGTGGGACATCTGCAGGAAAGACAGAACTGTGTGGATGGGATTTTAAAGTGATTGTAAAGGCAGCTAATCATAGATGATAAGGATATGATTTAGTGAAATCTAAGAAATGCTTGTAACCATTCAAATTCAGCATTTAGGATTCATCTGGATTAATTTAGAAAATCAGTCCAAATAATGTCCCTTGTGATGACCGTGATCACTGGAGTATTAATCACATAGTCATTTCCTCCATTGCCTGCTTTGGGATCATCATAATTGATTATAAAGCATCCAACAACAGGGTTTTTCAACATACAATCAGTTATAATATATCCAGAAGCAATATCTTCATGTTGCAGAATGAATGTGAACGTAAACCTAAATCTGTTAAGATTGATTATAAAGCATCCAACAACAGGGTTTTTCAACATATAATACAATCAGTTATAATATATCCAGAAGCAATATCTTCATGTTGCAGAATGAATGTGAACGTAAACCTAAATCTGTTAAGACTTTGGCAAGTATTGTTGGCAATGCATTTCACATGCATATTCTTCATAAATCAAAAACCTACCGCTCTAACCTGATAGTAATTATGAAATTACTGTTGCACCTCAGGAAATCAATCACTCTGAAGTCAGAAATATTGGATGCTCAACACTTGCCATTTGCATGAGGTTTTTGCCACAGAAATAGTACCTTAGTTTGATTAGAAAATGGCTTCTTCTTTTTTTGCTGTCATTATCCATGTTCTCCAGTTTTCCCCTGCTTTTAAATTATTCTCATGTTACAGAATACTGGGCTGACACATGCTCTAGGTGAACTTGGCTTTAAAGGCAGTGGCTACCTGCGAGCTCTTCTGATGTAAATGTACTGTAAATGTATTGGTGCCTCTATGTGTGTTTCTGGTTTTAGACAAGACCTCCTCAGTTGACCACTGCTGGAGGACAACATCCATAAAAATCTGAGCACTTATCTGTGTCCTAAACAGTCTTGTGCATGCATTCCAAACTTCACCTAAAATAAAAAAAAGTTGACTCTACAATAAATCTTTTCATTCATAATTCTTCATGAAGTCTGCTGTAATTTTCTGGTTTGGAAAACCGTTTACAATGATGCCATGAAACTAAGCAGACAAAATGCTGTTATGTTTACCAATATAAAAAGTTAATATTAAAGGGTTCGTTCACCACAAAATGAAAATTTGGTCATTAATTACTCACCCTCATGTCGTTCCAAACCCGTAAGACCTTCGTTCATCTTCAGAACACAAATTAAGATATTTTTGATGAAATGTGAGAGCTCTCAGACCCTGCACAGACAGCAACGCAACTGTTCGGATACTAACATTTTTCAAAATATCTTTTGTGTTCAGCTGGAAGTGAACTACTCCTTTAATAAACTGGTATACACAATAGTGTTAATGTGTGTGTATTTTGAATGACAATGTATATATGGGTGGTGTCCAACTGGACCGATTCTGACCGCAATAATGCCTGTTTTTTTCCTGCCCCCCCCCCTAGTCCAGCAGTACAAAATTCCGTGCAGAGCATGCCCCGGACAGGTTTTCCCTATCCATGCAATGTTTTGACCTTTTTCACCCCTTACCTGCTGTTTGCATCCCTGCAATCATGTCATTCATCAGTCAGATATTTCCTAATATTCCCCATCATCCATGGCAATGCTTTATATCAGTCTGCTCTTCCGGGGAACTGAAATATCTTGCGACACTATTATCAATTGTAGTGAAAATGGCCTCAGAGGACTTGATAATTATTGTTGTCATATTGTTTAAATGTTCTTCTTGTTGCTATGCTAATAGTTTTGTATACTGACTATTGACTATTTTAGTTTTGTATAGGCAGGTAAAATCTATATTTTATGCCCAGCGCACATATATTTATTTGGTGAGTAGCTGCATGGTCATTATAGCAAAATAAACCCCCTTCAGGGTGATGCAAGACCCCTACATTATCCCAAGGACGTTTTCTCTTTACTGTTTCAGAGGCATGTAAAGCATAAGTGGAGTTTAGGGGGGGCTGAATCATGACGAGGGCTAAATCATCTTTAGACGAGAGCCAATCATGATTTTGTCTGAGCTATGAATAAAATATAAACATTTAATAATTTATATTTTCTCATTGTATTTGTATTATCTTGTTATTTTAGTGGATAGAATAAGTAGGCCTACGTTTTGGGCTAAATTAATGTCTATGCTATTTAAGCCCCATCCTCGCGAGCCGAGACTCATCATGATACTTAACTTAGGCCACATAAGAGGACTCTTGGATCTTGTTAAATGTGTGATCGCATCGCCGATCACTCTAGACAACACTGTACACCGGCACTTAAACTGAAAACAATCAAAAAAGCTCATGGACAGGTTTTTGCTGACAGGATACGACATTCGGTAAGGGAAACGCAAAAATGATCATGATATTATCTGTCATAAACGTTATCAACACTTTCAAGTAGCATTTTCACAGTAGCATTTAACACTAGTACACACAGATCTGTAGAACAAGTAGGTTACAGAATGAAATGAAATACTAGCCATTAAGAAGTCTATGCCATGTCATTCAGTTGGCTATAGTTAAATTTTCACAAATCATGCTATAAACTTTCATAAGAGCACTAGACAAAGTTATTGTAGTTATGTATTGTTGCAATAAACAACTGATAAAATGATCCACCCTTAAATATAGTAAAGTATATTTACTATATAATTTAAATATAGTAAATATACCCCCACCCCCCACTCGGTCATGAATAAAATCTATAGATATAAAACAGTTCAAGCATATAACAATGTTTAAATGTTAAACCTAGATAAATGTGCGCTATATCCAATAGTTTGTGCGGAGAGTGAAAGCTAAGAGCTCTTTGCAGGACATGGAAGCGCCAGCGCGATCGCTTGCATTTTTTTCAGTGGATAGGCCCTCATTTTTGCTCATAAAGGTAAGAGTAATGCATCATTCGTAACTGTAAAGGGTCTACTTTTATTTGTGTGCACTCACAATATCAACAAAACGTTGTGCTTTTATCAAATAAAGAAAACAAACATGATGCGCTTTCTGCCGTCTCGTCTTGAACAGGAGCGCTTCACAAAAATGAACCGAAACTCAGCGAATACATGCCTCACAGACATGATAAATATATCTATAGAAAGCTTTACATTACTACTTAACCCAATAAAAAAAATCAAAAACAAAAACTCTTTCATTATAATCCGTAAAGATGCACTTCTCTAAAGGCGCATCTAATGAGGAGATGCCGATCAGGATCGGCAACTTCATCCTTGGGAGTGCGACACCGACTCAGAAAACACTATTTATTAGTAAATAATTCAAATATCTCCTTACTGTTTCCCCCTGACACATTTATGGTAATCAGAACTGTTCAGCTGCGCTGACGGCACGCATGCTGCTGCTGCTGGCGGGGCGCTCTTGACAGTCGCGGTACATGGTCTCGTGTTGTTTCCAACTTTCTGCATTGTTTTTTTTTCTGCTTTTCTGCTTTTTCTTTTTTTTTACTCTTTGTACAGCAGTTATTGTTCATTGTAAATGTATTTTTAATGTAGAATATGTGTTACATAAATACATGAAATGTAGAACATATAAAAAAGTGCTCGTGGCTCATCTGCCAGTGGGTGCCCCCCCCCCACACACATAAAAGTGAAACTCCGCCTATGATGTAAAGACATGTATTTGCTATGTCTGTTCACAGCCAGGTTTATTATTCTGCAGTAAAGAAAGAATGACATGAAAAAAGACATACAACATCCTTCATCCTCAACTCTCTCAAGATTAGCTTAGGTGCTTTGAAAGCAGATGCTTTCACAATCATGTATGTCTTAAAGGGGTCATATGATGCGATTTCAAGTTTTCCTTTCTCTTTGGAGTGTTACAAGCTCTTGGTGCATAAAGAAGATCTGTAAAGTTGCAAAGACTAAAGTCTCAAATCCAAAGAGATATTCTTTATAAAAGTTAAGAGTCAACAACGTCTACTTAAACCGGCTCGTTCTAACACGCCCCCATATGTCTACGTCACTATGTGGAAATATTAGCATAATGCCGCCCAAATGTGCACGCAAAGAAAGAAGGCGTGGTTTCAGGAACACAGTAGGGCGTTACATTTCCGTTGTGGGGTTCGGCCAATCACAATGCACTGGGTCAGCTGGCCAATCAGAGCAGACTGCGCTTGTCAAAGGAGGGGGCTTTGTTGAAAACGACGTGTTTGAGAGAGGCGGGGCATAGAGGACCTACAATAATGTACAGTATTTGAAAAATAATGTGTTTTTTGAACATTAAAGCATGTCAACATATTCTGTTACACCAAATACACAAAATAATGATCTTTAAAATAGCATCATATGACCCCTTTAACAAGTCATTAAAAGTCCAAGTTGCCTCAAAGGGCTACCATATTGAAAACTAATTCTGAGGGGCCAATAGGATAGGCTATACATTCCGACAGATGAACCATCATTTTCCGTTCATTATATATTGCTGTTCTTTGGGTTTGAGACATACCACAGCAGCCCTATATTTTTCAGGTCTCAACACCCTGTCCATTGTTCCAGCAGTGGCTCGCGACACGTGTGCCCTCTCCCCCGTGGATCATGTGAGCACAGGAAACATAAAGCTCTTCCTCAAGGACCTGATAGCTTCTGTCTGAAGGCCAAAAACAAACCCAAACTATTTTACAAGGGACCATCAATGTCTGTATTTAGATTTAATGGTTAGAAGAATGCTGTTTTAAAGGCACTTTAGTTTTTAGGTTCAAGATACTGGATGAAAATGGGAACCTGGAGTTGAAAACAAACTGTGTTACATCTGGTGGCTTGAAGTTCTCCAGTGCATAGGCAGGGGAAAAAAAACTCGGCTCTCCCCCAAACAGCCTTAACGAGAACAGTGTGTCTGGAAATGACCCAGTCAGTCTTTCTGGGACAGAGTAAAAGCAGGAGAAGGAGGAGGAGGAGGGGACAACAGGAGTTTCTTCCCCCACACCAATCCAACTGTTCTTCATCGTGCAGTCTGTAACAACAGACATCCAGCTTGAGAGGAGGAAACAGCAGACGCTTTCTCCTCCATGTTAGATCATCTTCAGTCAGCATGTTTTAGAACATCGGCACTTTAAAGTAAGTATGAACTCTTTCATTTCAACATTTCTTTTGTCTGTTTTCTATTTTTGTAATGTCGTTCCTGTCCATGTAACGATAGACAGATGACTTATACCTTACAGGAATGCACAGCTTTAAAAGGTTTGTGTCCAGATGTGACTTCCTAAGTTTAAAACTTTTCTCTAACTGTTTAACAGATTCTTTAACAAAGAATAGTTCTAGAATGGACTCACACAGTTGAATTTGGCAAGATGACCCTTTTTTTTTTTAAAGCAACAGAGAAAGGAAGTTCATGTGCTAAGGACAGAACTTTTTGATGTTTGGAAATGCTTTGAAGCCAGCATAAAAACACTGACTGAGACTAATATTAATGCTGTGTGTGTTTGAGAGTAACGCGCCACATGAGATTGATACTATTTCCATTGTGCACCAAATGCCCAGTGATGATTATGGCTCTCAGCTTGAGAGCAGATGCCACAGAGTGGAGAGAACTACCCAAAGAAATACCTTTGTTTAAAGAAACAAACCGTCATAATTTATGTTGGTTCACCAGCTGTCTTTTGTAAATATATACTATATTTATTATACACTATATTTATATGAACTTAAGGCTTGTTCATTTATATATTTAAAGTTTTATACATTTATTTAAAATATTTAACTGTTAAATTCTACATTTACTAATACAGATTTAACATTTTAAGTTGTATAAATTCACATTATGTTAATCATCGTTATGAACAAACACGAGTAAGCAGTTAACTAGTACATTTTATAAACTAAGATTTACTTAAATTAATAAATGCTGTAAAAATGGTTGTTTATTGTGAGTTCATTATAGGGAAATTAACAAATGGTAATGAACTGAACCTTATTGTAAAGTCTTACCATTTATTCTTTCATCAAAAGTAATTTTATGTTTATGAAACTTCAATGTTCATAAACCCTCAGGAATGAGCGCACATGTAGGGACTGATGTTTGGCTGCAGTTGCTCAGAACATAATGCATCTGGCTCAGAATCCATTGAGGTTTCCATATGGTGCTTTGAATTTTGTCTTACATTTGAACTATTTATCTTTTAAGCTGAAGATAGTGAGTCCAAGTCGATAAAATCCCAGCTAACAAAAATAGGTTTTAAGAACATTTAGCTAACATTCTCACTAAGTTATGAAATCGTGTTATTTCTAAATGTTCTCTGAATGTTCAAAATATATTTTTTTGTTTGTTTGTTCGTTTAAAACATTTTTTGGATTATACAAACATTAGAAAAAATGTTAATGGAAAGTTAATTTTTTATTTTGCAAATGTTAGGGGATGATTATTAAAATACCAGATACATTTGAAAGAACTTCCTATTAGTGTTACTGGATTCGTTCATAACTTCAAGAACCTTAGCAGAATGTTAGCCAAAGTTCTGAGAACAGTCCCTGTTAGCTTTACTGTTAAAAACTGGTTAAAAAAGGAAAAATTGAGTAATTAAAATGCCTTTTTAACCACCTCAGGTATTCAGTCACAGGATGGACCACTCAGCTCTCCACTTCCTCATTGGCCTGTCTGTCATTCTGCTGACCAGGCGCCCCACTTATGCCACCCCAGTCATTTTTAATGACTCTTTGGAGGGCAGTGGGCAGTGGGACTCAGAGAGCACAGACTTCAACCCCACACCTAGCATTTCCTCCTTCCTCAATGAATCAGTGAAGTCAACCTCCATAGATGGAGAAAAGCATAGCAAATCATTCTTGGATCAGCTGGTGGACTTCTTACAAGAGAACCACCTTCCCATAATCGTCATTACCACATTACTTCTCCTTATCATCACCATCCTCTGCTTGGCTGCCATCTTGAGTCGCCGACGTAAAGTCAGCATCTACTATCCTTGCGCTTTCCCTTCCAAGATGTACGTGGATGAGCGAGATAAGACTGGAGGAGCGCGCTTCTTCAGCGAAGTCTTGGAGAAAGCCAACACCAGCTCCAGTGAGGAGCCGGTGAATTCAGCCAGGCAGCTCCAAGAGGACATCATGCTGGCTACCAAGAACCTCCGAACTCCAATCAAGATGCCACAGAAGGAGAAAAATGAAACAGTGGAAGACCATAAACATGCAGAAGATGAGGAATGTGTTCAGTGCAACAAGAGTCAAGAGGAGAGCTGTGGCTCGCTAGAGGACAAGACCACAAATCAGTCTGCTGTTGAGGATACTTTGGAAAAGAGCGGCCCCAGCATGTCCCAGGACAGCGTCCCCGCTTGTGACATGGAAAAGACTGACCCCTCAGACTCTGGGCCCCCTGAGGAGAGCAAACATTCATCTGGGCCAGAGAATTCGGAGATCCAAGAGGACACGAACAAACAGGATGTTGCTGCTTCAGGCTCAACATTTATCAGTGAAGAGAAAACAGTATTTTAGTGTGGACATTTTTAAAGCCTTAAAGGAAACACTTAGACGTAAATACAGAGCAAAGTGTGTTTCTTGGACACATTGTAAAACAAAAAAATGTAGTATGAAGTTTCAATGAGATCATCTGTTTTTTCAAGGCAAATATATAGATTTAATATTGTTTGTGACTGTTTTACCACATATAAATGTAACAATCTGTTTTTAATTTTTCATTTACTTAAGTGTAAATGGTATGAACGGATGCCTATTGGGCAAGACATAAAAACTGCATTTTAAATGTTGGTTGTCATGAATCTTTTTTTCATTTGACAACTCTTTACCCCTAAATCAGAAATATTCTTTATTTTGTTTGCTTTACTCTCTATTATTACCAATGACATCCATAAAGAATAGAGGGGTTAGGGAAGTAGATTGCAAAAGCTTATGCATGAAGAATGATATTTCATGTCTCATGATCTATTGTTATCTTCCATCTAATGGCTCACAACATTGCAATGCACTATAAACACACACACACACACGTATCCAAAAAATAAAGCAAGCACACTTGCTACTCCAATTAAGGAGACAAGTCTAAGTGTAGAAAAGCTTTGCTGCGAGTCAGCTTATTGTTTACAGTCTAGCTCTAAATATTTCCTTTCAAGGTCGAGAGGTATTCAGCCACAGCTGTAGAATGCCACAAAGCCCCATGGCACCTTTCAGTTTAGTCTACACTCCTAAAAATAAAGGTGGTTCACGATGCCATAGAAGAACCTTTTTGTCTAAATTGTTCCATAAAGAAACTAACATCTGAAGAACCTTTCTCTTTGACAAATGGTTCTTTGTGGCGAAAGAAGGTTCTTCAGATTATAAAAAGCTAAGAAAGAGATGGTTGTTTAAACCCTTTAACTGTCACCCGTCCCCTCTGTGGGATGCCTAAGTTTACTTCACTATATTACAATTAAATCCTAATCTAATCATGACAAACTATATATCGTTGGAAAGGTCTAAGACTCCTAAACGGATATTTTACCAATGTTTTTGTAAAAAAAAATATGTAGGAAAAGTAATAGATTAATTTATGACAAGAGTGCACCTCAAAAATCTACATCATAACAGGAGTTATGACCTTTGTCAAAAAAAAAAAAAAAGTCTTCTTCGTTGCCCTTTTCTCTATCACACCTTAGAAATCATCAGAAATTATAGATCAATTGAAAACTTTAAATCTCATCCTTTGAAACCCATTTTAAAATCAAACATTGCATTACCATGAAAATGGTACATCAATATGGTACAAAATGTTTTCATTAAATTATAAAAATGTTTGTTTGGAGTGCACTTTCACATCTATGTTCAAAAGTGTGAGTGACAGTTAAAGGGTTATTAAAGAACCTTTGACTGTATAGTTCTTTGTGGAACCAAAAATTGTTCTTTTATGAGATCGCTGTGAAGAACCTTTTGAAGCACCTTTATTTTTAAGAGCGTAAGACCAGTTAGTTTCAACATGTAATTTATGAAGAACACAAACTCACTATCGGCATATTTATGAGATAGACCAGATTTCTGAAATGTTAATAAATGCTGGTCAGTATAACTCCTCTCCACAACCAGTGGTATACCAATGATTTGCTTCAGATCTTTTGTGGCTTCAGGTCTGTTGGTAGGTCATTTATACCTTAACCGTTCATGAAACAATCGTCAAAATTGACTTGTATCCTTAAAATGCAAGTACTTTAAGACATTTACACATCTTTTAATGCATCAAACAAAAACCGCACACTACTAGACCTCAGCATTAGTGGAAGAAACGCATGGTGGTTTTTTGTCACCTGGATCATCTAGAACGTTTCTGAATAGTTACCTTTTTTGAGCCAGAATAGATCTATAAATCAGTTTCAAATGAAAAACATACTAGCCATGCTGAAACCAGTACAATGCAGAACCAGTTCAGCACGTCTAACTTTAATTGTACTTTATATTTCTAGATATGCAGTATTAAATCCAATGCCCACAGAGTTTACACATGCTTTATTTAGAGTATGGATGTTTGAAAGGCCATCAAATAAAAGCCCAGCAGCAAAAATCATCATCAGAATAACATTTTCGTTCCTTCAACCTAAAATACAAGATGATTTGTGCGTGTTCAGCTCGCAAGTGAAACCACTAACTCTTTTTTCACATCAACATATCTAAACAAATATGGCTTGGACTGTAACAGTATATGGTTCAGTACTTTTTCATTGTGCGTTTAAAAGACTGGCTACATTGCAAGCTTTGGTCTAAACTCAACAGGGAAGATAAAGAGCAATGGTTCGACTGGTTTTTTTCCAGACCTAGATTTTACATTGGACATCAAATGGTGATCAAACCCCAAACGCTGAGATTTATTACAACAGAGGATCAAGTGCGCCTCCTAGTTGCGGGCCATGGCAGTCTTCTCACCCGGTTCATCTTCCTGTTTCAGACGGTAGTCTGCCAAAGCTGCTTTAATGGCATCCTCAGCCAGCACTACAAAGCACAGAGAACAAGGTCAGTTACATCTTAAATACAGGAACATCATAAATAATTTATTATACATATAACTTTTAAATCAACCGGAGCAGCAAATACAACGCAGATATTACACAGATAAATTAAAAGGAACACTTACTTGAGCAGTGTAGTTTGACTGGTGGAAGGCTAAGCTCCTTAGCAATCTCAGTGTTTTTTATCTTGAGGGCTTCATCAATCTGTACATGAGATTTAAAAAAAAAAAAAAATTAATACTTTAGGACAAAGTTATAAAAAAATAAATAAAATCAAACCGTTACAATGCAGGGAAAATTTTTTTCTTTTTAATTCCCCCCACCACACGACAAACAGTTGCACTGAAGCAAGAAGAACTAGAACTAGCAAATGTGACCATTTTTTACTTACGGATTTGCCCTTTACCCACTCAGTAGCCAAGGAACTGGAAGCAATAGCAGAACCACAGCCAAAAGTTTTGAACTTGGCATTCACAATCTTCCCAGCCTCATCCACCTCGACCTTGGTGGAAAAAAAAAAAAAAAAAAAAAGTCAGTTCATCATCAGCATTATAAATGAACTCCAGACGGGCTATACTTTATCTACTGTACACAAAAAACAAACAAACAAAAAAAAAAACAACATTTATCATTTGTGACAGTGTAGACATCAAATGACTAATTTTTGGGAGTTCATATTAAAAAATGCAATAGAGCTATGAACAAATGGCTTAAACAGAAGCAGTCGTGACCCTTATACAACTGGTGATTCGTTGAATTAAAAAAAAAAAAAAAAAAAAAAATTGATTTACTTTGTTATAAACTACATATTTTTTGTAGGTTATTGCATTTATTGGGTCCCTAGTAGCAGGGACAAGTGCGGCAAGTATTATATTCTGTATCGTCCCCATCAAATAAATAGGATAATCTAAAATATGCAGACTCATCCTGTGTAAGCACTCAACCCAATCCGAGGCTTCAGTCATGTGACAGAATTAAGATCCTGAAAGATTCACCTACTTAAATACTACACTTTTTTTTGTGTAAGGATGCAATAAATGTTTAGTATGTTTCCCTTTTATAGCCTATGCATTGTTTCATGTCACAAATACAAACATGCTTGTCATCAAATACCTGTGCTATAAAATGAGTTAATAAGCCTACAATAGTGAACATACCCAGTCGGACAAAAAAAAAAAAAAAAAAAAAAAAAAATTCCATTTAGGAAGATCAGTAAAGCAGCCTATTGTTAGGCAAGACAGAATTACCTGCAGTTTCATCACATCTCCACACGCAGGGGCACCAACCAACCCTGTGCCCACATTCTTGGCATTTTTATCCAAAGACCCTACATTTCTTGGGTTCTCATAGTGGTCCACAACCTTTAAAATAAAAATAACTTTCAAAGGAGGGGTCAACGGAGTAATCTGGCTCAAAAAGTCAGGATCCTGTGTCAGTGCATTTTATTGTTATACAAACGTCCATGCTGCTCCCCAATCTCTCCCATGTTGACCTAGTTATTTGTGTACTAATTTTGCCAAAATACAAATTACTAAAAACGATGACTTTACATGTTGTCTTCTACATAAATCATGGACTCTTACATAAAATAGTTCATTCTTAATTCTCCAACTTATACTAAATGTGACCTCAAACCATATAAACTGACTTAAATTAAAACTAAAAAGTGTGAAACTTGCTATGTCACATGTTAGTGGTGTTAGTCCAGTGCCAATACTGTCATTATGTATCACGAGATGTCATGTCAGACACACAGGAAATCACTGTACATAAGGTACATAAGTACATAAGGTCAAAACGAAACACTTTACTAGCAAATTGCACGAGTCATACTAGCTTACCTTCTTGTGATACCCACATTGCATCCACAACTGAGGAGCTGAAAGCGTTCTGAGGAAGACCGGTGCCGCGCACTTCTTCACCAGCAGAGCCGCCATGATATGAGAAACCGTGTCGCACTTGAGAACTCAAACAGCGGATTTATACGCCGTTAGTCTCGTACATTTCTACGATCATCGCGAGATGTGAGACAAGCGGAGCGCAAATGTTATGTACACATTAGTTTTATACCTTTATTACTTATCTAGACCCTATATGCATTTATTATTAAATGTATATATACTTTTTGTCCTTTTTAAAAAAAACTTGAACAGTTTATACGTTTTCATTAAAAATGTAACGCATTAAAGCTACAAAGTTTGCCGCTCTTATTCTGAATAAAAATGGTTATATAACCATAACTCAAAAATTGTTGTTTTGTAGGGCAGCAGATTGTTGTTTGTGTTTCACTTTTATGCTATACCTTTTCTGATTGTTGAAACTTTGCAGCTTCCCTGGTGCATTTATTGTGTATATTAATTAAACAATGGTGTAGGACTTAACGTTACGTCAGTGCAGCGCCTGTGACTGACAGCGCTGTCAGCCAATCGTTGAAAAGGGAGGCGAAGAGGATTTTTCAAACCTCAGGAAATGGGAAAGGCAAAGCAACTTCTTCCATAAAAAAACTACCGGTAATTCGAGAGCCGTCTAGCCTCCCAGCTGGCAGCCTGCCACCTGTATCTTCTTTCAGCACCCAACTTTTAATTCTCTTTGAATGTTTTTTTTTTGGGGTTGAGCTCTCAAATTCAGTTGGAAGTTTGGATATGGTGTCTAGTGTAACTCGAGCAGGCGCCGCGTGAGTCAGAGCCGCGAGCTCGAGTGAAGCCTCGGTTAGTCTAAGCATCGCTCTGCGTTTATCGGACATCATTTCATAATGTCGGGTGTGACGCTTCAG